ATGGTCATACACATTGTGGTTGAATGGACTGGTCCACTCACTCAATAGTAGGAACAGAGGTAGATATAGAAGTTGAAATGAGCGAGTATGAGACTGAATAATGATCATACACATTGTGGTTGAATGGACTGGTCCAATCACTCAATAGTAGGAACAGAGGTAGAGATGGAAGTTGAAATGAGTGAGTATGAGACCAAACAATGGTCATACACACTGTGGTTGAATGGACTGGTCCAATCACTCAATAGTAGGAACAGAGGTAGAGATGGAAGTTGATTTATCCATTTGTTTGTCTAAAGAAAGCAGTAGAGCTTGCAGGTGGTTAGAAAAAGACTTTGTAGGTGAAATAAATATATCTGTTTGCAGTGGAACAATGCGTAGCAGCATACCTCTGCTTTGGAAGAGGATTCAGTTTTTTTTTCTTTATTTATTCTTCCTCAACCCATTTTGGGTATGATCTAGAGCAGAAGTTTTCAAAACTTTTTGGTCCACAACTTATCATTCAATACTCCCATTTAAATATTAAAGAGAACAACTACCATTCTGAAAACAAAAGTACAGTAATAAAGTTCTATATAGTTTCCTTTTAAATTATTCCTTAACTTTAAAACACTCAATCACAAAACAGGTATAATACTAAAATGAAGGGTTGGGCACAGCATACTGGTTAGCATGCTCAGGGTATGAGTTCAAGGATTCATGGTTTGCATCTGACTGCTGAATCAATGTGATCCATACTTTGGCATCAAGAATGTGATATAAAAATGATATTACTCAATCAAATCATGATTTGGCTGTGGGTACTGTTGGCTAGCTGCCTTCCCTCTAATCTATTAGTTTCAAATTATGGTCAGCTATGTTTATATAGACCTTGTGTAGCTTTGGATGAAAATATGAAATGAACTAAAAATAACAAATGAAAATGTTTTACCTTTAGTAAAACCATAGAGTGAAGAGGTTGAAAAGATGAACCATCTTTCTTTGAATAAAGAGATTTATTACATCTTTTCAACTCCTACATGACCATCTTTGCAATCATTACTCACAGAATAAGAACATCTAATCCAGAGTGTGAGTGGTAAAAGTGTAGATGATACAATATGGTTTCTAACTGAGCCCATTCCTATCATAGTATTTACCACCACAATGAGTATAGAATAAAGAATCATGCCACAATGTTTTGGAATGTTCAAACTGCTGACAGTGTAAACATCACAGATGGTTTTGAAAGTATGGTCAAACTTTTTCATCTCAAATAACCTTAATTTACACTGGCAAATTTTTTTTGCAGCTGAGACTCCTTAACCAGAAAGTTCATCAAGGATGTTCATATGATCCTGTGAACCATCTTGACAATAACTATTCTTGAGGAAAAAAGTTAATGTGGGTGATTACCTAAACACCTATTCTTCCAATGGCCTTCAATTTTAAAACAAGTTCATTTCCTATGGTCATACTGTTTCAAGCAGCAGGATCCCACATCTTAATTCCTTTACTGAACTTGTAGAGCTGGAAAGCTTCTCCAAGCTTATTTTCATATATTAAAAAAGGAAACAAGTTTGTGATAGTGAATGTAAAATTAGAAATAGAGACATAGAAGTTTATAGAAATGGTGGTTACTATGTGGTCATTTAATGATTATATTTATTCTTGTTGATAAAGTAGCCATAAAAGTGTTACAGTTTGGTGTCCACAGACCATGAAGTCCTACAATAGGACATGCTACATTGTAAAAAAACTGGACAGCACAACAGATCAAGGTTTCAAGTACATCATACCAATATACCAGTACCAGAGATAGTATCTATCACATCTGTGAGGCCATCTAACACTGGTACCTAGTTGACCTTAGCCATAGCTGAGACAGTCACAACAGGGTTTCCCAACTACAGAAATTCAAGACCAAGAACTGGATTGCATTGTGTTATTAGGACCTTTCTATCTTTCTTTCAAATGTTGCACATGGTAAACACGTAGGTGGATGTTTGGATTCCAGGAAAGGTAAGACACACAAGGTAATACCTACCATGGATGATCCCCTCATTATTTAACCCTTTCGAGACAGGTCATGGGTGAAAGGTCATTTGTTGACTCACAGTCAAAATTTTATTGAACTACTATTTCATGAATTTATATCAATAACTTTGGTATCAAACTGTAGATTATAATTAAAATTTTAGTACTATATATATTACTCAATTTGTTAATTTAAAAGCAAGTATTAAAAAAACACAGATAAACATTAATTTTTGTATGTGGTATGTTGAATGCAGCACTGGTTCAAATTAGATGTTTGTGAAGTCAAAATGCTAATTTGAATGAATTAAAAATTCAGATTACCGATATTGACAAGCTATAATATAGAATAAGAATGTCTTATCTTTTCAATTTGCTAAGATACTGCTCATATAATAAATCAAACACAGTGGCACACTGCCAATCTCTTTCCATTTTTGGAAATGCTCCTTTATATACACTTACTTCTATATATTATATGAATAACCAATCAGAAGCTTAGAATGTTCCCTAGAAGCTATCTTAGCCATTTTAACAGACTTAGCACTATTTCTTTCTTTTGAACCAATATTTCAACATTTCAACGAGGTAGAGTGTGTCTTTAGTCTGTTCAAACATTTTTATATTTTTTGGAGTAAAATACATCTTAGTTACTAAACTTTATAAATTATAGTGGAATTATATGATATTGATATAGTAATTTATGATATTTTAGTTATTCAAACGTATATATATAAAACCTAAAACAAAAAATTTTGTTTCATATCCTCCACATGTGAAATTTTAAAAGATTTAGCAACATACATCAAGCAGCAACTGACTATAAAGGTCGTAACTAGAAGAGATAATTGTTTGCTTTACTTATTTAGTTACTATTCTATGTTTTAAGAAAAATAAGTTTAAGAACTTATTTCAAAATAGCAATAACCTATATATAATGTATAATAATTGAAATTTGACTGTATTTTACAAAATACTAGTCTACTAAAACACAGCCAAGACAAGTTACTTTGCACAGACCTAAGGTCTGTTTTATGTTATTTAATATGGCATCATGAGTGCACGAGCCAAGTCATTGTCACTTCTGTATTGTTAGCCAGGCTCGGGTGAAAAGTCGGTATAATAAAAATAATAAATACAATGTTATTAGATTTATGCTACTTAGTTTAAACATTTATGTTTTCATGTTAAAATTTGTGTTCATTCTAGAATGAAAAAGGCATAATTTCTATGTATTTCCTAATTTTTTATGGTGGTTGTGAGATTATTCTAGTCTACCGAACCCATACAGAGATTAATTACTGAAAATAGAGATAAAGCATAAAGTTTTTTCTTAAGAAACATTTGATAACTATCTTGACATTATAAAGATTTTGCAGGTGAAATTTTAAAATTTTCCAATGCATAAAAGTACTTTTAATCTTAAAATTAATATTATTTTGCATGATAGATAGGAACATGCAAAAATAAAAAATAGACATAAGAAAAACATTGTTTTACAAATCTTACGACTTAATAAAAAAATTTGATATTTTGCATATGAAAGCAATGTGATGTTTACTGATAATCTGCCAAATTTCGTTAACATTTGCTGATTAATATAAACGTTATAGCATGAAAACTATAACAAGCACAAAATGGTTATGAGGTCGGTCCCAGGGACTGAGCCTGTGCTGAAAGAGTTAAAGAATTGTTGGCAAAAATTACAGGAAAGCCTCTGTAAAGTTTAAAATCCAAAAGCTTACAAATTAAGAATTAGCATAAAACCCTTTACTATTCTTATAACTGAAAACCATTGTTTCTACTCTTATGACCTAAAAGCTAAAAGAAAACCCCTGTAAACTCTCATAATCCAAATGCTAATGGAAAAACCCATGTAACAATTCTAATAAAGCAAAAATTAATAGAAAACCCTGTTATTGTTATGATTTACAAAAAAAACTAAAAGTTTCTTTATTTTGTCATAAATATAGGGTTAAAATTAGTGCTCTGTTATAATTGTTAGCAAACACAACTAAAGGAAAGAAGCAATGAAACCTGAAATGCACACTCTGGGAATGGTACGCACTAGGCTATATCCAGTTCCATATTCATAAAGTCATAGAGTAATAACCCTGAATGAACCTTTATACGGAACTACTTTACATATTATGATCACAAGCATTCATCTTTAACAATGATCTTGGCCAATAAGTAGTTTAAGTAGACACACCAAAGCAAAGAAAATTATAACAAAATTACTTGTTTTTTTAAAGAATCATACAGTGATCACGAAAAAGCAATTTTAGTTTAAAGCATCTATGACACAATAAAAATATTTTTTGACCTTATTAAGAAAAAGGTGCAACTTTTATCGAAGAACAACATTATAACTGTGCTTGTAATCACGGAAACTGAAGTTTTATACTTATTAGTTTGAAAAATGTCGGAGGCAGCTATGTTTAGTAATTTACTTGGAAAGCTTGAAATTTATCAATGAAAGAATTTCTTCTACACAAAACATATAAACTGAAATCAGTGAGATAAATAGTGGTATGAAATTACGGTTATTCTAGTTATGAGAGATCTTAAACTGAAGCTATGAATGTGAAACACAAGACAAACCTTTCAGATAGAGGTATTAACATGTCCCTGACATGAGATATTGCAACATATCCTTTAATGCTTGGATCTGACTGAGATGCTTCATATTGGTGCTTTAATATTTCTGCAGAAAACAAAGAAAAAGCTGTATTTTATTATTGTGTGTAATTTGTCTTTAAGGAGAACTAATCAGTTTTTTTTATTTGTAGACAGTTATACACAATAGATAAGAAACAGTTATGAGAGTAAACACTTAGGGTATGATGTTTTAGACATAAAAACTAACAACCAATAGTTGGCAACTTACCTATTATCCTTTCTATCATTGAAATAAGTTCTTTCCATTCACTCTCTCTTCTTCTTTTAGAAAACTTAACATACTGCATACATCCACAAGCTAACACAATCACTGTGAAAAAATATGTAACAATAATTTCGTTTTTCCTTGTTATAAACCTGTGCCTCAAGTCAAAAAAAAAAAAAAGAAAAAAAATTGTGGTGGTAATGGTCATTAATATAAAAAGTGTTTAAGTAATTGTAAAAATTATGTATACTTTTCATTTGAATGTGTAATTTTAATTATTATTTTAATAATTTATTCTTATGAAAATAAATTGATATTTTGACTGATAGAAAAATTCTAGATTCAATTAAACAATGTTTGAAACATTTTAGTTTCAGAATGTATTTATACACATATTGATTACAAGTCAAAAGAGGTAATTATCCCTCAATACAAATACATAAAACACATTTCCAAAGGAGGCATGAAACTTTCTCACTTGAACACATGGTTCGATGCTTTGTCATGATGGAGCCATAATTTACTGGCAACCAATCTGCTGATAGAAATGATCCACAAAATATCTATAACTCTTTCTTCTACTGATTATTTTTTCTTTCTATTCCTTTAGTACTATCCTTTTAGAAAACTTAATGTTTACTCAAATCAAACTAACTTGAATGAACATGTGTTTCATACATACCAAGAACAATAACCGCCACCTGCCAGAAGGCTTTTTTTGTTGCCTGCCGTAAACGACACAGAAAAGGCTTAGATGCTTTTGTGGATTCCAAGGTGTAAACATCCAAAGAATTCAAAATGTTGCAACTCTCTCCATTTCTTGTGTACAGTCTGTAAAATGAAACAAATATACCATGTTTTACAGTTTTCCACAAACCAACTTCTTCTGAAGAGACTAAGTCTTCAGAAAGATGAATCAAAGCATTTGAACTAAACTTGTAGTGACTAAACTTAAAACAGTTTCTCTGCATATATTTATTTTTAATATAATTTTAAAATGTCCTCAGAATATATGTATATATATTTACATATAGCAGTGTTTACAATCTATGTTAACAATAGCAATGAATGCCTAGAACTTACAGACCCGTCTTCCTCTACCAAAGGTGTTCTGTGTGATGACTTTGGCAATGGACTGTTGCTCTGCAGCACAATTTTGACTGCAGGAGGTTTTTGAATAATATATCAAGTTCAGTGTTGTCCATCTTTATTATATTCTATCCAAATTCCATCAATTGTGCATCGATGACAGATTCCATTGGCTCATTTGAATGACCCAAAGACTACCATGCCTTTGTGTTGCTCAAATGAACCACAGGAAGCTGTCCATAAATGGTATAGCATGAACTCAAATTTGTACTTGCATCTTGTAAAATGAACTGGCATGTTTACTTGGACACGTGGTTGGATGTTTTATTGATATGGCATATCTTACTGGCAACCAATTCATACAAAAATAATATTTCCTCATTGTATATTGATGTTGCTATGTTAGTATGCAGAATTCAACTTGGCCTTTGATTTTCCTTACTGAAATTAATGATATTTATATGGGAAAAATTAGTAAAGTTTACTGATCATATTAACTCTGTGCACAGATGGGGATCAAAGTGCACATGCCACAGGTTTTTACAGTGTCATTCAAAATGATACTATGCATTTGATGTCAGAGTTATCACCTATTTGTTTTATCCTAACTGCTGATTTAGCTACAGTTCATGGTAACTACCAGATACAATATATATAGGGATACTGAAAAACTGCAGATATGCATTGTGGAGATTCTGGAGACTATGCAAAGGCTCTATATGCAGACATATTTTGATTACAAATACTTTTGTAACACATCCACTTTTTTTTTTGTACAACAGACTTTTATGTTTTACTAAAAGCTTGTCACATTTTGTGTAGATACATGTAATAAATTCTGGATTAATGTCAATGATATTCCTTCTCCAATACCCATAAAACATTTGGTTAAATGTTTGGGTATTTCGATGTGTACTGAGGATGCAGAATTACTACAGAATGACTTGGATCAATTGGTAAGTTCAACAAATATCTGGCAAATGATCCATAATTATAGTATGTGCTAAGTAATGCATCTGGGTTATCATAATTTGGATCACTTGTTGGGAAAACACTTAACAGTGTGAACAAAAAAAAAAGTTATAGTGGAGAATAAGTCATTCAAGCCATAGAGGCAGTGCTCTGTCACCAATAGCAAAACTAATAGAATTTTAGGAGGTATTTATGGACATACTGATTACGAGTCAAAAGAAGTAATTATCTTTCTATACATATTATTTGTTATGACTCAATCCAATTGATAGAATAAAGGTTTCTGCTTTATTTGAGCTGTATTCTGAAAGCAATAGGATGAAAGATCACAATTTTAAGATATAGAAATAATACGCTAGGCTCTAGTTAAGGCAGTTTTGTTCTCCTAACAGGGTGCTTGGCTTATGGAATGAGTTTCCAACAGCAGCAATGAAGGCTTTACACGAATCTAAAAGGGAGAATTGACAATTTCTTGAAAAATAAAGGGTGGGTTTAAAAAAATAAATATTTATATTTTCTCAATGGTAGGTTTGCAAGGACAGCTTTGAACGATCAAATGATTCATTTTTGTCCATATGTCACCATATCTCTAACTTACCACCATAAACAACTCCCTTGGAAAAACTTTTGAAACTTGCTCTGTATCATTTTTGTCCATATGTCACCATATCTCTAACTTACCACCATAAACAACTCCCTTGGAAAAACTTTTGAAACTTGCTCTGTATCATTTTTTGAAATGTATGACTGGCATGATGATAAATAAACTGCTCATAATTTGTAGACTCTTAATTGGGCCTATGGTTTATTCAATGTGACTGTGACAACATACATTTATTTCACATGCCAGACACTGCTCGTATAGCTTTTAGCAACAGGTCTTTCACTTGGTAACTCATTCGCAGTAGCACAGTTCATGTCTCTTTTGTAGACATATATCCTTGTGAATTATCTTGTTCACAGTTCAAAGAGAATTTCCTACTTAAGCTGCAATGGACTACTGTTTTCTTGGATTAATTCCAAGGATAAAGTGTTTAACTTTCTTCATTATCTCCTCCATGTGACTGATAGCCAGTTATGGAGTAACCCATTTTTCTCCGCTGAAATCATACCTTCCCTTGGTTTTTACCAATATGTTTCAACACTGTAGATACTCTATTCTTCAAAGTGGTAAAAGTTTGCATGTTTCACGATTTTACATTCTCCAAATAAGAGAATTTTGTGTTTAAAGGTCTGTGATACAATCTTCCCGAAAGGGATCAATTTCAGTTACCATTTACAGATCACAGTTGAACTGCATTAACATTGTCAAAGTTTTTACATCTTTTAGTCATAGGACAAAAGGATAGCTAAAAGCAAGGTGACTGGATATTATTACAAAAGATAATGAACAACCTTCTATACAAAGGCAGACAGATACAGATATTTATAGTAAATAGTATTACATAAAGGTAATACTTCAAAACTTGACATAATACAAATTTCTATGTCTGTAAAATTGTGTTCTGCACTAACCAAAAGAAAGTTGATATATTAAAAAATCAAATATTATTAAAATATGAAATTGAAAATGCATATATATTTCTAATTATTTATATAACCCATTATGAATCTAGCATCTCCCCAAGACCTTAATATTACATATAAAAGTGCAAGATTCTATAAAAAATATAAACAAATAATAAATTGCTAAATACAAAAACATGGGGAATTCAAATAAAAAAAGTTAGTTGGTCCTTGTTTATGAGATAAATCAACCTGCCTTAAACAAAATGATTTTCTTCAGGTTTGTTTTATGGCACAAATTAGCTGAATAAGTATAATAACAATAACATAAATAAAATAAACTCTAAGATACTAGGTTATATACTTTCTTAGCAAATAACTATTGAGAAAATACCTTAACTATACATGATAAAAAAACAGTACAATCCAGAAAATTTGTATACAAAGTCATGAAAATCATAAATATCAAATTTAAATTCACCTAATGGAAAGTCCAAACTCTTGCATTTTTGTCATCAATGTACAGTATAATTTACTTAACCCTTTCCAGACGGGTCACAGG